CTTTTCTTTTTGGACTTTTTTGGCTTCTCTGCCACAGTGGGTCGGGAGGGGGAAAATTTTCCTAATTACATTATACTGAGGGGGACTCTGTTTAGGCAGGCAGTTCACATTTTAATAAAAGATTTAGACCACCATCATTCTAAAAATAAATTTTATATGCACTCTCTAACCCTCTATTAGTTTCCTTCCTCAATCTCCATTGCTTTATTGTTTAGTTGGATTGTTAGGCAGGAAGTAGAAAATGAAAGGATTTCTTCAGGCACAATCCAAGGGGAAGAAGGCTGTGAAGCTACGCAGGCTAGGTAGCAGCACAGGGCATTGGGGGCACAACGCTTGTGTGGGGCGATGGGAACATCAGGCCACGAGGCGCAGGGTGGTTTGCCAAAACCACAGGGAAGGACTTCACCTGGGGAAGGCTCTGTTCACCACCAACATTACTGGAGCTCTGTGTTGACCTTGGCACTTGCCTCAGAGGAAAAATAGCCAGCTGAGGAGGATTCGGCAGAGATAATTGTGCGGGAATATCTGGCCGAGCCCCCTCAGCCCCACCAGTCAGATCCCCTCCATTACTGTGCTAGGAAACTAGTCATATGGCCGGAGTTGCCCAATGTGGCCATGGGCCTCCTTTCCATCCCCCCCCCCACCAGCGTCCAGAGGGAGCACGTGTTTTCCCATCTCAGAGACATACTCCAACCATGCCGCTCATGTTTGGATCCCGTTCATCAAGGTGAACCTTCCCCTTGTTGGGGTTCCCCTCACTGAACCCAGAGGTAGGGTTCCAATGACAGTCTCTCCCTTAACACACCACCTGTCTGCCTGCGCCCGCCTGCCCACCCTCCAGTCCTCATGAAAAAAAAGACCTGCCTACTTGCCTGCCAGCCTGTAAACCTGCCCCTCAGTCAGAAGACCAGCTGCCAATTTCAGTCACCTCCTTGGGCCAAGTTTCAACCAAGTCATACCTGCCTGCCTTCCTGCTGGATCAAGTCAGACCAGCAGGCTGAGAACTGTTGAACTCCTGCCTGCCTGCCGGATCAAGTTAGACCAGCAGGACGAGAACTGGTGAACTCCTGCCTGCCTGCCGGATCAAGTCAGACCAGCAGGCCGAGATTTGTTGAACTCCTGCTTGCCTGCCTGCTGGATCAAGTCAGACCAGCAGGCTGAGAACTGTTGAACTCCTGCCTGCCTGCTGGGTGATGTAGTCCCGGTGGATTAAGTTTATTCCATCTTCTGCCTCCCTGCCTGCCTGCCTGCCTGCTGGGTTATGTAGTCCTGGCAGGCTGTTTGTTCCACCTTTTGCCTCCCTGACTGGGAAGAGAGAACTCCTGCCTGGCACGGGTTAAACCAGATCAGTTCTGCAATCTGAAGCCAGGCGATATGGTGATGGGGTGACATGCAAACAGCCTTTGGTTGGGGCAGACCCAGGGCGGCCCTCTTGGCATCCAAGCCTAAACCCTCTCTTGGCACATCCAGATCCTGTCCCGGTACCCCCGAATGTGACAAGAGGGCCAGACAACCTCTTGGCGCACCCAGAGCTTGTCCCAGCACCTCCAAACATGACAAAAGGAGCAGACAACCCTCTTGCCGCACCCAGAGCTTGTCCCGGTATCCCCGAATGCGACTAGAATGCCAGCCAAACCTCTCTTGGCACACGCAAACTCTGTCCCAATCCCCAAACATGGCAAGAGGGCCAGCCAGGCCTCTTGGCAGTTGGAACACCCAAAGCTGTTCCTGGCATGCCAAACATGCCAAGAGGGCCAGCCTGTCTCAGCACCCCAAAACCTCCAAGGGCTATCTTTATCATATCCGGGAGGTCTCAACACCCAAGTTGCAACCCCCCCAGCTTTCTAGTTCTAAACTAGCATCTTTGTTTGTTTGAAGGTTGTCAAGCAAGTCTAGTTAGACGTTGGTGGTGACAGGTGAGTCTCCTAGACCAGGCTCTGCCCCACCCAAAGCCTGTATAGGCGTCATCCCATCACCCCATTGCCCGGCTTCAAATGGCAGAGCTCATCTGGCTTTCAACCCATGCCAAGGGGCCGGCCTGTCTCAGCCCCCGCCACCTCCGAAGGCTATCTTTATCATATCCAGGTGGTCTCAGCAGCCAAGTTGCAAGCAATCCCCAGCTTTCCAGTTCTAAATGAGTATCTTTGTCGCTCCATCGTCCAGCTTCAGATTGCAGAGCTGATTTGTTTCCGACAGCCCTGCGGCCCCATGGATTAAGTGCTTCTAGTAGCACTGCCCTTGTTCATCTGATGGTGCTGTTGGAAGTTGCAAGCAACCTCAGTTGCTTCCTGGGGGCGAACACCTTTCCTTTGCAGGCAAATCTGTTGTTGCTGAAGAAGACCAGAGTCTGCTCTGCTGCCTTTTGCCTCAGTGCCACGATGGGGCATGACACGGTACTTTGCTGCTGCCAACGTCCTCTGTGCCCGACGGAACTAAAAAGCTTGCTGCTAAATACCTCCTTGCCTCCAGTCCTCCTGAGGGAAAACTCTACTTCGTTGGCAAATGTAATCTTGTGCTCAGCTAAAGACAACCTGGATGCCTCATGCATGCCTCTGCCAAAGGGACTTCTCATTCTGCTGGGGCTAAATATAACTCCCTCAATGTCATGGGCTTCTATGCCATGTGGTAAGCTCTCCTGGGGGGACCCAATTTGTGAGTGAATAACTTGGAGTTCTGATATCCAATCTTCACCAAGGTTGGCAGGCATGTTGGGGAAAGACATAGGAAGCGCTGTTTTGCTTCTGGAATCTCTAAGTACCTGGGGAGAGCTTTCCGGGGGGATCCTCTTTGTGCCTATATAACTCAGTGGTCCATGATCCAATGTTCTCCAATCATTCAGGAGTTGTAGAAGTGTGTCTGAGGAAGCATCCGTGCAAATTTAATGTCTCTAGGTCATTGGGGGCCAGTGTTAATAAGCATTTAAAGTGCAGATGAATGGATGGATCGATTCATCAAAGAATATTGATTTGTTAACCTTGATGAATAACGGATCAAAACAAATCACCATTTTTTTATTCATCCCCATCTCTAGTTTGTGCATATCAAATGTTTTTAATTAAGAAAGAGGAGAAGATTAACACTTCTGGGTAGCCATTAAAGTTCCACAGTCTTTAAAGAGCTATATGGACCCCACATAATTTACAGGTTCCCTTATATCCACACCCTCCATAAAAATACCTACATTTATCAAATCAAACTCTGTATCACTTGCTACTTTTCTATGCTGTCTATTTATCTGCCTCTAACAGCAAGGTCTTCACCACTATAGCCTGGAAGTTACTGAATGAACCAAAGCAAAGCAAGTTGTGCTGCTTATGTACTACCCCATAGCACCTTAAGGCACTCTCTGGGTGGTTTACAATTTAATTATGCAGGCTGATTCATCCCCATCTCAAGTTTGTGCATATCAAATATTTTTAATTAAGAAAGAGGAGGAGATTAACATTTCTGGGTAGCCATTAAAGTTCCACAATCTTTAAAGAGCTATATGGACCCCACATAATTTACAGGTTCCCTTAAATCCACACCCTCCATAAAAATATCTACATTTATCAAATCAAACTCTGTATCACTTGCTACTTTTCTATGCTGTCTATTTATCTGCCTCTAACAGCAAGGTCTTCACCACTATAGCCTGGAAGTTGCTGAATGAACCAAAGCAAAGCAAGTTGTGTTGCTTATGTACTACCCCATAGCACCTTAAGGCACTCTCTGGGTGGTTTACAATTTAATTATGCAGGCTTCACCATTTTTTTGATTCATCCCCATCTCAAGT